TATGATCACCCCTCATATCTGTGATCACTCCTCATATCTATGATCACCCCCACATCTTGGACACCTTTGCTGTCCCTTACACACAGCTGCAATGTGTCCATATCTTTGACACTTATAACACCTGAGTGGGGGAGGGACATGAGGCCTAACTGGAAAGCTCATGAACCCGATCTTAACCTTCTCTGGAAGTACATCATTTTAAAATTCAATCATTATCGACAGGCTTTCAGTTCTTTCTCCATTTATTGTTCTCAATAATCTTTAATCAATAATCTGATCTGATTCACCTCTGCACCCTGAATGCTCTTTTTAAGCTTTTCTAGATCTTCATTTACTGGTATTCCAGTTATCACGCCCCTCGTTACTTTCTTCTCTCCTAAAATCCTTTTCTCTCACATTTTTTCTACAAATACTTTCAATATTCAGTGCTTTATTTTTCTGTTCTTCAGTTTTACAGATGACCAGTATACTGTACTCCCATCTCTAAGTGTTTTTGCAAAAGAAATATCTCCAATCTTCTTTTTGAGTTCTTTTGATAATGCAATTGGACCCAGCTGTATGTTGTTGTCTTCTTCTTTAAATTTCAGAATAACTTTAATTTCCTCTTTAACAATCTTTTTGCGGACCACAGGTGTCCCTTCATCTGAACTATTCTCTTCCAAAGTCCTTTTACTAACCTGTGTCCCTACCAAACAATCATTTTCTCGCCCGATTCTTCCTCTTCTTCCACTAACAACTTGACTCCAATCATTTAAATCCATTTCCTCATCATCTTCCTCAACTTGAGCTGCCATTCTGGCCCAGTCACAAATCAGTTTATGCCAAACCGCTTGTTTCTTTTCTTCCAACACTCTTTCTTCAATGAAAAATCAGCCACTTTCTTCAAAACGTTCTCACCCACTTCCAGCGACCAATGCATGCAGGTGTTTCCGTAATCCAAAACCTGAGTCCTGAGTCGACTTGTCACACCCTCAACCCTTCTTCTTCTTCTTCTTCTTCTTCTTGTGGTGTTTTTTGGCGGTTGGCAAACAACTTAATGGTGCATTACCGCCACCAACTGGTAAGGAGTGTGGATCAGGATTCTAATATCTAGACTAATTATACTGGGGGGGGGGGGCTGTAAATAAATATATAAATAAATAAAATAAATAAATAAATAAAATAAAAAAGACAAATCCTACAAAATACTTTAATCGTTAATTAAGTCCTTCCAAATAAACCAGTATTTCGAAGAAACTGAAATAGCAATGGATAACATTTTTCTTCCCTCAACACTTCTGATAACTTGTATCTTGTTTGAATCTCTTCAAGATTTCGGGTAAGAATATATCGTTCTTTATCATATTTATTACAGTTTAACATAACATGCTGTAGTATGAACAGATGCTGAGATATATTCATACATTAAACGGGTTCTTCATTTTTCTGAACTGTGTAACATGCGTGCATTGAATTTAACAGAAATGTAACGAGAGACGTTATTTATCTTTGACCCATCAAAATGAATGCGGTCATTTATTTACAGAATCAAAGTTTAACATCAAACATTTACATTAATTTGGCAAAATATGAAAATAACAACATGGCTAGTTTTACAGGAAGTGAGAACAATACGGCGATTGTTTTCACTTTTCAGCTAAAACAGCAGACATCAATTAATCAGTTTTACAACCAGGAAAACCATACGGCCATGGTTTTCCGTTGCTTCACCACAGACATTAATGAAAACATCTGGATTAATTTTCTAGCAGAAAGGAGAGTTTGAAGATGGAAAATTGAGATTTATCTTACAGAGAGATGTGTGAGGGAATTTATCTGTTTTAACCAGAACAGCACGCTCCATTGAAATCAGCTTGGCCAACGGTACGCTTGGTCGAAATAGAACTTTTACCTTGCAGACGATAGCTTCAGCGTCGGTGTAGAGCTCTCCTTTTGACTCTTTCAGCGTCTCCGTGAGGACAGCTAAAATATCTCTAGAGTCGTGCGAGGTTATCCAAACAGAAGTTATAATTCCCAAAATCGTCTCTGGTTCAGCTCTGCATTCTGGATTCCAAGAACTCTGAACTCCTTCAGAACTCTGAAACTCTGTAACCCATCTCTTCTCAACTCTACCGTTGAACTGGGAAGTTGCCACATTTAAACGGGGTATACTTCCGGTTCATTTGAGAGCTTTCTGATTCGTGGATGGACCAGAACAGAGGTGTGGTTTGTGATGTAAGGTGTTATGGAAAGTCAAGGATTGTTTAAGAACAGACAGAAGATATCATGGAAAAACCAGACTTCGTGGCGTCTCTACTCCTAGTATCTGCTGTGAAAGTTAAACATGACATTTCTTTTCAGTAAACTTTTTAGTTGACCGAAGCTCGAACTTTAACACACTTACAAATTTGCTCATTGAAGACAGAAAAATCAAGAAATGCATATTACCCTGATTTCTTCTTTGAATGAGGAATAAAAATCATTACTACTGTTTAAGTAAATAAAAATGAGTAGTTCACTTCAACATGTAAACATTGTCTGAACTAACACAATTTGATTATCAAACATTTGTAAAATAGTAATGATCATAGAGAATTGTCTTTTCCACTTGATTAATTCAAGAAAGAAAGTCTCAGGATGGGTCAAACTGTATTTCTGGATGCAGATCAATGAAATGACAGTTTCTGACCATATGATCCCAAGGTCATTGATTTGACATCAGGTCAAGTTCACTACAGTCCCCTCTTTGGAAATCATCGCCTGTCCATGGGGATGAATTCCAACCGTGAACTTACACCTTCAAGTGTCCTTGAGCTTGATGTAATCCAGCAAGGAAGACCAAAGTCAAAAGTAATCCAGCAAGGAAAACAAAGTCAAGGTAATTCCACAATGTTCTTGGTAATTCCATTGTGTTGATGATAATTCCATAATGTTGTTGGTAATTCCATTGTAGCAATGCTTTAACCCCTTGGAAACAGAGTCTGTAATCCACTGGAAAAAGTCATATAATCCACAACGGTAAATCCACAACGATTGGAAGTGTTGATTAATCAGCATACAGAGGGGTAACCTTAGATTGAACTGAAGATGCGGCCACTGGATGAAGAGTGGAGACCAACGTCAGGATTGCAGGTCGCCTCCAGCGAAGGTCGTCTCTGGTCGACGTCCAGCCTGTGCCGTTCTGGTTCAAATGTGTCATGCAATTATGTGGTTTAAGGTGGGCTTATGAAGGGGATTTTACATAAGGCCTTAAACTATATGCACCTGGTGTGTAAGCTATTATGGTTGGGAACAGCTACAACTACCAGTTAAGGGGTGGTACATGCTGAAAAAGGGTAACTACAGGGGTTTATACCTATAGAAAAGGGGTCCAAACTATTTTTTCATTTCTAACTTGGTTTAAGTTAGCTTTACATGGTAAAATATAGTTTGGTGCAATTGTCTGTTGTCTTTTAGACGAACTACTTGAGATTGGGTGCTTGGTTTCCCCATAAATGTTTTGGAAGTCTATGGCGAGACTTATCAAAAAGAATTAGCTATCCCCCCGAATAGAATTGTTCGAGTAGGTTCGGCTTA